TAGACCTAGTTTCTTTAACCTTTCAACAGAAGCAAATTCCCCAAATCCCTCTGTCATTCTGGTTGCCTTCTGCTATGCCTTCTCTAGTTCCAAAATATCCTATTTATAGAAAGAATCCCAGAATGAGCTCAGGACTCATAATGTGACCTAACCAATCCTCTTTACATGACTAGAATAATTTCCCCTGACTTCTCTTCCATTTTGCAATGTGTCCAACATATTGTGAACTGATTCTTTTTTCTCTTCTTCTAATATATAAGATTTAAAATTTTAACTATAGCCAATGTTATTGACAAAAAGAAATGAGGCCCACTATGCTCAAGAGTTGTCTAGAGTTAATCAATCAGGAACAGATTACAGTTTGTGGTTTGTATAACATTAGGGTTAAATGAACAAGTTTTCCTTGAATTATTTTTACTATACGATATTCACTTCAATAACTAAGAGTGTTACTCTTTCCTGTGTTGTTGTGTAGTATGTGGTGCAACTCCTTTACCCGAAATCTATTTGAAAATGCCAAGTCTTGGTCACTACCCCAGACTCAGAATCTGTTATTTAGCAAGTTTCCCAGGAGATTCATGGGTACATTAAAGTATGAGAAACATAGTTTAGTATCTGTTAAAGTTTCCTTCCAGATGTTCTGGCAAATAACATCTTAAGCACACTTTGCTTGACTCCATTATGACATAAACTATTACTCTCACACTTGGTTATCATGATCCTAAATTTTATGATTTCTTAGATGTTTTACTTAATTCCTAAAATAACCTTACATTTAGTTGCTTATATCTTGCAAATCCTGACCTGACATGTTCTTGACCTGTCTCATTCTTCTATCAACTTTTTCTATTAACATGACTTCTCCCTTACTTATCACCCATATTTCCTCTTACTCATCTTCTTGTCTGTAAGATGGTTTTCAAAGAGTCATTCAGTTCTTCCTCAATATTCCATGTGATCTTGCTTCAGCCTCATTATGGGTTGTCTGGTTTTCTGAAATTGAGTTAAGTCATTCCAGATCTTCTGTCTCATGCTTACTCGTCAGGTTCAGGAATACACAGAGGTTATTGCAAACCAAATCATGACTTTCCCAAAGCTCACTCTTATTTGCATCTTTTTGATGTTCTGATTGTTTCCTTTCTAACTAAACTAGGCTTAGTAGATGGAAGACTCCATGAATTCTTTTTAAGTATGAACTCAACAGCAGGTTCTTGGCAACTGTTGCCTATTCTTGTAGTTAGAAAGCTTTCCAAATTGTGCATCATGATTTTCTGCCTTTCCTCTTATTGCCTGTGGAGAACCATTAGAGATCAGGAAGTGACTAAGGGAGCCAATCTTTCTTCTTACCTGGTCAGAATCTTATAAACAGCAATATTTTGCTACATGTTTTTGTTTGTGTTGGACTCCAAGGAAGAAACTATTTCACCATTTGAAACCTCTCTGTTAGCACTCTTCTTCATTGATTAGTATAAGTATTTCTTGTAACAATCAACTAGGGGACGGAAGGGTTGACAGAAGGTAAGAAGGCACTGTTGACACCTTAGCAATAATTATTCAAGCACTCTTCAACTGAAATCTTCTGAGAACACTTAAAGTGGGGACTTAGTAATAGATGGATCACTGGCTACATCAATGTGCAGAAATAAATAAAAGTAGGAAGGGAGGAAAAAAAGATTCTAGCCAACAAAGGGTGAGGTGGACATCTTGACAATCAACTAAAACAAAATTTAAAAAATAAGAGGTAGAAAGAACAGTTGGAAGAATGAAAATACTATGTCTTCCATTTCTATGCTGATTGGTAGAATGATCTGGAATACCCAGATCATTTCCTTGAGTCATATGTTAAGTTTCATTTTTGACACCAAGAAAGTAGATTTTGTCTTGGGCAACATTCCAAGCATCTCTTAATTCTCTAAGAAAAGGGAGTCTTCTTTTGTATTTGTTTTTGTGGACTCTTCTGTTGCATCTCATTAATTCTGATCCATTTCACACATCTATTTAATGATGTGCTCATGTCTCCTAGTCCTGATGAACCCCTTCTCATTATTTTTTTCTCTATTAGCACAAAATTTCAAAGAACATCTTTATAACTGTGGCTTTAGTAGAAAATTGTGTGTGAATATCCTACAATGCATGTAGCTTAAAAGAGAAATCTTTCCTTCCATTCTGTGTTAATACATGTTGCTTTAAGTCTGGATTTGCTGTTAGGTAATGATGTTTGAGAGATAAGATTTGTTTGCCATGCATTTTGAAATGTTCTTATTATTACTAGAAACGAACAAGGTCAGATGAACCTAGAGAAGTGTGATATTCATATCACAGCTTACTACAGTAGTGCTGAAAAAAATATGACTCAGGAATAAGTGGTCCTGAGATTAAAAGTGTAACAGGTACAAAGCTTGACATCTATCTTAGCAAATAAAAAGCCTTCAAGCTTTTCTTATATTAGACACTGAATTCCTCCTACAAGTGAAAAAAGTTAGAAGGTACATGAATGGATATAAGTAAAAGCCCAGAAATTTAATAGTGCACCAAAAGGAAAGAATTAATCTTCCAGATCACTTAAAAATTAATATGGAAAAATACACACTTACATGTCAAATATTTTGTCTCTGCATTATTTCCCCCAACTTCCTATAGCAAATCTCATTATATAACAACTTGTGCTCCCAGTCTTAGTCCACAACTCCATAGCTCTAACAAAAAAGGCAATAGTTGAAAAAGTCCCTTAGGAGACATTTTCAACACAATAATGCTTTCTGTGTAATGTCAAACCACTCAGTCATTCTCATTCTGAATCCTCAGACACCAACAGAGTATCCCACTATAAAACATGACATTAAGTTTCCTAATAAAGATTCACCAGAAAATTAGCTGATAGTTTATACAGGCCTCACAAACTTTTGACCCTGTCAATTAAGCATATCTCATAGTTAACAATGGAAAATCAGCATGTTCAGGAAGTGATCCTCTCCTGGAGCCACTTCAAGACTCAGCTCTGTACTAGTGCTAGTGAATTCTTCAACCGGCAGGGGAATTTATTTAAAACATTATGAATGGTATTCTCAAGAATCTGGTTTTGCCCACAAAGGCTGCACCCCAAAACCTCTGAGGATGGTATGTGCCATCTGTCTCAGTCTTAGGGCAGCATCTGCTGGCTAATTCATGGATGGACAAAAATGGTAGTTTGTGGGCAATATGGGTAGTTTGTTTTCATGGGAGGAAACTTGGATTTGCTGACTGTGAGAGCATCCAGCATCCTTTGATGGTGACCTACCTCGGTTCTCCAGGAACCTACCAGGTCTAGGACTGTCCTTAACAAAGTCCAGGAAGCATCTACTGTGTGTCCCTTCCCGGCATCTAGGATTAACTTGGTTAATGGTGGAACATCTCTGAAGAGATATGAACTCTCAAAACCGGATTTGCTCTCAATAGCAACAACCCTGTACCAGTGGGACTCCAAATAAACAGGAGTCCACATACCGAATTAAAAGTGAAGCATTCCCATGAGGCAGGCATTTCGGGGGTGGGAGGGCATGAGGACTAGGAAACAGTCACTGATGGATAATGTCCCATTGCTTCTAAGTCATCCTGTCATGTGAATGAGATTTTCAGACATCAGAAAGTGCAAGTGACATAAGAATACATCGCCTTTGATTGGGATGAAGAAATGAGAAACTGAAAAGAATTAGCTAGTCTGAAACTTAAGAGCTATCTCCCATCTTCTGCAGTCAATAGCGCCGCGGCCAGGGCCTGAGCTGCTGTTGGTGGGCCCGCGTGGTGGAGAGTAAAATCATGGTGTCGGTGCCAAAGCGACGAAAACCGAAATGCGTCTGGGGACTTCCCAGGGCACTCGCGCTCCTCGGCGCGACGAGCATCTCCATAACAACTGGTTTACATCCATCCACTTCCTGTGCTCGGCCTTGCAGGCTGAAGGCTAGGGGTAGGCAAAGGACAGCTTCAGTGGAAAGATACCTTAGGTTAGCGCCTCCCTACGCCGGGGGATGTTGCCAACGTTCGAATTATCGTTATTTCCTGAAATTTCCGGAGTTCTGGCCAGAGCATGGCCCCTCCCCCCACCACGCCCGTCTTTCCCTTGCTTCTACACTAGGACTGGGGGTTGGGAGGAGCGGAATGGCGATAGGAGACTGTTTTATTTTGCTTTTCCCTTCTTGGCGAAGTTCATCCTTTTATTTCCAAGTTCGTTTCCGCCAACACGTGACCTCTCCACTTCCCATTCTGCGCAGCCAGTGATGGGGAGGCGCGGGTGCTAACCGCGGGGCTTCCTGGGAGGGCCCCCTCCCGATGTTCGCAGCCCCAGCCCGGGCTCCTGGAGCGCCCCGCTCCGCTCCCCCGCCGCGCTCTCCCCGCAGCGCTGCGCCCCGGCGGCGGGGAGCCCCCGAGGATGCGTCCGGGGCTCCTGGGGCTGAAGCACAAGGAGGAGGCAGTGCGCCGAGCCTGCGGCGGGGCCTCCCTCCCTGCCTCAGCCCGCGGCTCGGCGCTGCGCCGCTCGCCGTGCAGACTCCGCTGCGCACCGGGGCTGTTAACTCACATTTGAGAAGCCATAACCCATTAGAGCAAACGCAGTCATAACTTCATTCAACTCAGCCGCTCGAGAGCTCGGCTTACACTGGTTCCTGTGGGCAACTAGTGGCTCGCCCGGGGTGTCTCTAGCCTAGTCATCGGTCCCTAAGAGGAAAATGGAAAGTTGTCGGGCTGATGCGCGCTTCGACTCATGCAGTTGTTCCCAAGGACAAGTCACTCAGTCCCCTCCAGTGCCCCCCCCGCCCGACCCCCGAGCCCCCCGTTTGATCATCACTCACGACCTCATCGGCTGGAGACCCTTAGTCATGACCGGGGAGGGGGAGGGGTACGAACTTTTCTCAGAAGTTTCCTTTTTCCCGAGGAGTCACAATGAGTTGGTCACGTAAACAGGTCTGAGAGTCCTTGCCGCCGCCGCCCCCCTCGCCCCCTCCCCGCTGAGCTTCTGACACTGTTATTAAAGCGGTAGCCCGCTGGCGCTGATCAGCAACAAGTTCCCCAGCGGTCTTCCCGCCCTAGCCTGACAAGGCGAAGGTTTTCTTACCTGGCGACAGGGAAAATCTCCCGAGTCGAGCTCAGCTTTGCCAGAGCCCCAGGTGTGACCCCCGTGCAGTGGGCAAGGGAGCGGTGTGCAGGCTGGGTTATTTTTGTGAGGGTACCCCGAAACTCTCACTTTTCTCTGGGAACTTTCTGTGCCTGGACCCAGTGACGGGCGGTGGAGGAAGCAGCCCTACGAGCAACCTGCTGTACAGCAGGGCACTTAGACAGTCATTGGAAACCTCGCTCATTCATTAGAATCACGTAAGAACTAAAGAGGAAACGTGTCTCTCACGGAGTGAGGGCGTTTGCGTAAATCTATAGGTTTTTCAACATCGGTTCCAGTTGCTTTGTCTTCTGTAGTCGCCAAGGTGGTTGAGAGTTTAAGCTTGCGGATATTGCAAAGGGTTATTAGATTCATAAGTCACACCAAGTGGTGGGCGATCCACTGAGCAAAGCCGAACTTCTCACATGATGACTTCAAACAAGACACATTACCTTCCAGCATCTGTTGGGGAGACGAGATTTTAAGACACTTGAGTCTCCAGGACAGCAAAGGCACAATGGTGAGTAGCAATAAACCTTGCATTATAATTGAGAAATCTTGACATGTTGCTTAACAACAGGCATATCACGGCTCTTCCTAGCACTTCACACGCCAAAGAACAGCAGCTACTCGGGCCAGGAGAATCGGGTTTTTACACAGTGCAACTTTAATTGGAATCATTTGAGATTTAACACAGCAATGTGGAACTGCGTGGAACAAACTTGGAGCTGAAGATGGGGGTGTGTTATATGGGCTGTTCAGGGCTGATGCTTGTCTTGTGTTTCATTCTCTGCCTTTCTAATGTGTGAGCATATTTTATGATTTATATGTGAGCACGTAATTGACATTCGCTACGGGAATAATTTCCATATAAAAACAATAATGCTGTCAGAGGTTGGGATTAGGGCTGAAATGGGGTTATGGGTGGGGTAGAGACTGATAGTTTAGATACATATGGGGGAGGGGTTCGGGGGAAGAAATAAGTCAGAAGTGCATATCTCTGGTAATGTAATGGGTAATCCTGACATAGAAGAAAAGGGTCTCATCAACATGTGATCAACTATTAACAGGATGGCTTTGGCAAAGCCTTCCGCACGTGACAAAACGTAAGGAAGTGGAAGAAGCCGTCTAGAGCAATATCAAGTATCACTTAATTAGAGATGTTTTAGCCTTTTCCTCCTGCTGCGCCGGGTGTGTAATCAGGGAGACCGGAGTCCATTCAGCACCTTGGAGAGAGCCAACGGATTTGTCCGAGGTGGTGATACTCCAGGTAGCCCTCTTCGACCCCTGGAAAGCCAGCCCCGAGTCACCCTTAAAACAACGCCTTTCCTAAGGTTCGGCTCACACTGGGCTCGGGGCCGAAGAGAGAGATTTTGGAGCGGAGCGTTTGGAAAGCGAGCCCCAGTTTGGTCCCCTCATTGAGCTCGCTGAAGTTGGCTTCCTAGCGGTGTAGGCTGGAATAGACTCTTGGCAAGCTCCGGGTTGGTATACTGGGTTAACTTTGGGAAATGCAAGTGTTTATCTCCAGGATCTAGCCACCAGGGTGGTGTAAGCCGCAAAGAAGGTAAGCACCGGGGCGGGGACCCCCTACACCCCCAGTTCTTGAGCTATTTTGATTCTGGATCTACCGGAGAGGACGCCTGGTGGAAGGGAGCAAGTAGAGGAAGAGCGTTGGGGGGGTGTTGTTTTGTGGTATTTGCCCAGTTGGAATTGCCCTAGGTGAGAGCCAAGGGGCAAAGTGAAGGGGAGGGGGGAGGAAAAAAATGTCAGTCTTCCTGTGCATAGAATGAGTTTAGTTAACTTGGAGCTGCAAATGTGTAATTCAAAGATTTCTCTTTTTCTTCCCTTCACCTCCCTCTTTTCTCCCTCTTTGCTGGTGTGTGTGTGTGTGCGTGTGTGTGTGTGTGTGTGTGTGTGTGGTGTGTACAGTAGTCATTACTAATTATGAAGCTTTTACACAACGTTCGGTTTCCTGAAATTTGACTTTGTACCATTTGGAATGAGGCAATGGAGGTGGTGTGCAGTGGGGGAAAAGGAGGTGGAGGTTAGGGAGAGGGAAGGAGACAAGGCCAAATCTCCCAACACAAAATGAATCAAGGTAATTTCAGCTCTTCTAGTGAGGAGGTTTCATTCTCCCTGGAACCCTCCCTCTCCTTCCCCCTCCCTCCCTCCTTCCCGCCCCCCTTCTTCCACCCCGCCCCCTCCTGCCTCCATCCCTCCCTCATTCTATCTCTTCCTCCCTGTCGCCCTCGCTCCTCGCTGGATGTTTCTTAATTTTTTTTTCTTTCTATCCTCTCTCCCGGTGAGTTTGGGGCGCTGGCTTGGAGGGCTCCCGCTTTCTCAAAGGAAGGGGAACCACCGAGACCGCGCTCCGCTTCCCCGCCGGGCCGGATGCCTCACTGAGCCTAGGTCCGGATCGGTCTGGGTAACTCAGGGGAAAGGGAGCCTCTGCTTGGGAGTAGAAGGTCCTTTCCGAACCGTAGAGCCAGGGAGCGGGCCGGGGGCGGTGAGCTGGGCCACCGGAGGCGGTGGAGAATACCCGTGGTTCCACAGAGCCACCAATCAGCTGGGCGCGCAGACCGCCCAGGCAGGGCGAGGTTGCGTCCGGAGGCGCGGGTAGAGGGCGGCGGACTGTCCGTGGGGCCGCTGCCTCCCCTGCGAGCCGGGCGCCTGGCGGGAGGTGTAGGTGGAGGGCTTAGCCGGTGAGCTGGGAGAAGCTCGGAGACGCCCAGCCTTTGGTTCTACCTCCCTGCCCCCCGCCTGCGCCACCGGGGGACCCCGAGCGGTCGGACAGCCTTGCTGCGTCGTCCTCCAGATTCCTTGGAGAGCCAAGGGACACACACTCTCAGTCCTGGGCGGGGGACACCCACCTCTCCACCCTCCTGCAACCGGCACGGCCACCCCATTCTCAGACCCTTTGTTCGGGTCACATTGCCCTGCCCGGAGGCAGTTTTCTACCCCCAGCTGGGTTTTTCTGGACTCCTCCCTGGATCTGCCCTTCCAGGTTAAAAAGCAAGGGTATGGGATAGGGGCGAGGGGAGAGTGTGGAGAAAACAGATTTCCGAAACTCAAGACTCAAGACTGGTTTGACGAAGGAAAGAAAGAATCCCAACTCTGCGCAGGTGGAAAGGATGGATTCATAGGCAACGCGAGGATATTGTGGAAATTTAGAAGAAGACGAAAAAAAAAAAAAACTGGCTCTAGGATAAGATGACGGTGATAGGCTGCTCGGCACACAAAGGGAGCGTAGGGCAGGGTTTACGGAGCAAGCTCGCAGCGAATGGGGCACAGATTGTTCCGAGATCCAGTCGTTTTCTCAGTCAGATCTACGCGAAGGGAGGAGAGGGAGGGACGGGGCGGGGAGGGGAGTGTGGCGGGAGGGGCCGGGCTTGGGGGCGGGGGGATTTCTGATCAGTCTGATGCAATTCCAAGCGTGCTGCAAAGGAACTCCAAGGCGCCCGCATCACCATCGCCACCCACCCTTCCCAGATGGTGCTGTTTTAAATACGGATCTGCAGGGCTGAACGCAGAACCGGGAGATTTATTGCAAAATCCCAGGAAGGGGGGAAAATGGGGAATGGAGAGGCAGAATTTAAAGGTGCAACGCCTGCTTTTCCCCGATCAAACGGCAACCGGTCGGAATTTTTTTCTTTCTGTCTTCTTGTCTCTGGCTTCTAATTCACCAAAGAGGAGGTGTAAATATTGTGACATTTTTAGGCAGCTTGATGGATGGGGAAAAAATCATCTGTCACTCTTAATTGCAGAGTTCCCTCTCCCCGCTGCAAGCCTTGCTAGCGAACACTCGCTGCTGCCTAATACAGTTGCTAGGGTTTCAGATGAATGCACCGTTAAGGGAATATTATCCTTTTAGTCTACTTGCCAATTTATCTGACAGTTGAACCGAGAAAATTGTAGATTTCATGTATCTGGGAGACAAGGAAGGAAAATGCTAAACAATCTAATCTTTGTAACCTCGAGCTCTTTAACAACTTAAATAAACCTCAAAAGTGTCACGTCATGCTTGCGTGCGCGCCTGTGCACACATACACACATCCTTGACTTGTAAAATGAAATGGCTTCACCTAAATGTTGTGGAAATGAATACCACTTTAAGATTGGTGCATCTGATATTCACTGTTTACGTATATTTACATAGAACTCTTTAGCATGAAGGAGAGAGAATTATTAGCCTAAAAAATTAACAGTAAACGAGCCTATTCTTGTTCCCTGGGTTTTTACATATTAATATTTCTGCCTGCGAAATCTTGGTTTATTCTAGCTCCCCCCATGGAATAGAGCAGTACTGATTCATATGAAACTACGTGAACCTGCCTGTGTCTTCTTCAGTGTCACGGATAGTAAGCTCCACAACACAGCAGTTTTTGGAACATGAGAATGCTGAAAGAACGCACTCCCTATATGAGAGACATCATTGTGGCATTTTCCTTTCACACAGCATTTTCATTTCCTGAGAGCAAAATACAATTTACTTTATCATCTAATATCTGTGTGGTCCAGGCCCAAATGGTGATTTTAGAAGCACAGGATTAGTTATCTTACCAATAATGTTTATCAGTGTAAAATGAAAGGAAGATCTACATTTCAAACCCATAAGCTTCCTCTTTCACTTGTCAGACTCTTTCCCCATCACATGTCTAGATTTTTGCTAGGAAGAGAAGCTGGCGAGTTTCATTTCTTTCCTTTTCCTGGCCTGTCCTCTAGGGGAAGCTTCAGTAAGAAACAACAGTCCAAGATGAAGCAGTGACAGAAGGAAGGCAAGGGGCTGGATGACTAGAAAACAGCCAGCCAACAAAGGCAGCAAAAAGAAATGAGGGGAAATCGGCAGGAACGCCTGACCTCCAAAGAGTTTTGATATTTTAATTCTATCTTAATGATGATGGTTTTCACTTTGATCTTAGTTTCAGGTTCCAACTTGCTCAAATAACATTTTTTCCAATCATGTTGCTTACAATCTGTCGCTTAAGAATGATGTTTAACTGGACAGACTTTTCATTGAATACACTTCTACCGAAGGCCAATAAAACTAATCCTTGATTTTCCTTTGAACCAATTAATATGGCCATTTGTATAAGCCTAATGAGTTTGAACTGATATCATCTCTTTTTAAAACTCTGCTGAAAACTAAATTCGCTCTGAAAGCACTGACTTGCCAAAAATTATCTATTTTTGAGCTTTCTTTACACTCTATGGATAATTTAACAAGTTGCTTATTTTAATTTTACAACTGCTACCTCAGAAGTATCTCAAATTATCTCTCTTTGGCTAAATGTCTTTCTCTGCTGATCTGCAACTGCTGTGTGTGTGTGTGTGTGTGTGTGTGTGTGTGTGTGTGTGTGTGTGTAGTTTCTAGTGAGAATTTAACAAGCAGTCTTTTAAATTTACATACATAATTCATGTAAAGAGCAGACATAGTGCTCCATAATAAAAATAAACACTAACACTTAATGAAAGCTTACTATTTTGAGTTCTATAGACATGGGAGAAAGGGGAGTAATTTAA